GCCTCACAAATTAGTTAATTTAGCCTCCCCACACTTTAAGGTGGTACCTAATTTTCCTACTTGGCAGATGCAACTGTCTTTCGGGTTGCAAAGGTCGACAACAGGCTACACATAATTGGTTGGAAACCCACTCCAACCCGGGCTGGCTTCGAACCCATGACCTTTTGGTCAGAGTGATCTTAATGCAGCTGACACTCAGCCAGCTGTGCCACAATCCCGGTGCTTATATATAGCTTATATGTAGTTGCCTCAGGCTGGATCTACACTGCCATATAATGCCGTTTGGAACGGCATTATATGGCCACTGTAAACCCATATAATGCAGCCCAATTCACCCTCTATATTGCCCCCATCTATATTCCCATATAAGGCAGTTTAAAGGCACTGAATGGCATTATATGGCAGTGTAGAATCATAGAATCATAGAATCAAAGAGTTGGAAGAGACCTCCTGGGCCATCCAGTCCAACCCCATTCTGCCAAGAAGCAGGAATATTGCATTCAAATCACCCCGACAGATGGCCATCCAGCCTCTGCTTAAAAGCTTCCAAAGAAGGAGCCTCCACCACACTCCGGGGCAGAGAGTTCCACTGCTGAACGGCTCTCACAGTCAGGAAGTTCTTCCTCGTGTTCAGATGGAATCTCCTCTCTTGTAGTTTGAAGCCATTGTTCCGCGTCCTAGTCTCCAAGGAAGCAGAAAACAAGCTTGCTCCCTCCTCCCTGTGGCTTCCTCTCACATATTTATACATGGCTTTCATATCTCCTCTCAGCCTTCTCTTCTTCAGGCTAAACATGCCCAGCTCCTTAAGCCGCTCCTCATAGGGCTTGTTCTCCAGAAGAGCTCTTTGTCCCACCCTGGTCTTTCCACAGATATATAAACAGAAAAATAGAAAAAACCAGATAAAAAGATAACAGAAGGAGATAATAGGGCTTGTTCTCCAGACCCTTGATCATTTTAGTCGCCCTCTGGACACATTCCAGCTTGTCAATATCTCTCTTGAATTGTGGTGCCCAGAATTGGACACAATATTCCAGGTGTGGTCTAACCAAAGCAGAATAGAGCATGGGGAGCATGACTTCCCTAGATCTAGACACTAGGCTCCTCTTGATGCAGGCCAAAATCCCATTGGCTTTTTTTGCTGCCACATCACATTGTTGGCTCATGTTTAACTTGTTGTCCACGAGGACTCCAAGATCTTTTTCACACGTACTGCTCTCGAGCCAGGCATTGTCCCCCATTTTGTATCTTTGCATTTCGTTTTTCCTGCCAAAGTGGAGTATCTTGCATAATGCTTGTATAGACTTGTATAATGCGGTTCAATGCAGTCAAACTGCATCTATATGGCAGCATAGATGAGGCCATACTGAATGCATCAGGCACCAGCTCACATGAGAAGCTATACAAGGCCAGGTTAGTACTTGGAATGGAGACTGAAAGGGAATACCAAACATGGCAGGCTGCAATTCAGAGGAAGGAAGGAATGAAACCATTCTTGAGTATTCCTTGCTTCAGATAACCTTGCGAATTTCAATGATTCACGTTAAGCTGACAAACCTCTTGAGCAATACAATATGGATGGGTTCCTTAGTAAACAGGTTAAACACCAATAATCCCCTTATAAAGATAACATAATGAATAAGTCCAACAGATAGGTAAATTGTGAAACAAGGACTGTTCAATTCACAGTGGTCACAAAATTGAGCAATATGCAAAGAGTTCTGTATAGTCTTTTAGTGATGTCGTTGTATGTTCATAAATCAGCCTCCCACGACCGGTTTCGGCCTTTGCTTTAGGCCTTCTTCGGGTGGTCTGTAATTTTACATACATAAATACATTTTACAATTGGGGAGGCCCTTCTCTCGATCCCGCCTGCCTCACAGGCACGTTTGGCGGGGACGAGAGATAGGGCCTTCTCGGTGGTGGCGCCCCGGCTATGGAGCACCCTCCCTGTGGAGTTAGACAGGCGCCTTCCCTTATGGCCTTTCGTAAGGGCCTGAAAACATGGCTCTTCGAGATGGCCTTCAATTGAGTGCTATGTTACTGGAATTGACGACCGGAATGGACTGCGATTATGAGACGGATTATGACCCTATGATATGACGAAGCGGATTTTTAGTATAGTAGTGTTATGTAGTAGTAGAATGTTGTGTATTGTTGATTTATTGTAAGCCGTCTTTTCTATGTTGTTGTACACCGCCACGAGTCGCCCCAGGGCTGAGAGTGGCGGTCTATAAGTGCAAGAAATAAATAAATAAATAAATAAATAAATAATACATTTTACAATTGTATAGGTTGAACATAATGAAATAAAATGCATTTAGAAATACTTACAAAGTTCAGTCTTTTACATATGTTCTCATAAGAGATACTTAAATATTTTTTGCAATGGGATCTAGGTAAAAGGAACAAATTGTGGCTATTAACATTTAAACATTACATATGTCAAAATAAATGTATAACCAATATATTTCACCAAATAGGTGTATACTTACAAGATACTCTGCTTCTAAGTTTGATTCTAATTGCGAGTATGAACAGGATCTAAGGATTATCTCTATTTAAAGAGGAGAATGCACATCAGATGTAGAGGAGACAGAGAAGTTAACTTATTTACCTATCTGTTGGACTTATTCATTATGTTATCTTTATAAGGAAACCTCTTGAGCACACATACTTGACTATAGCGTGTGTACGATAAAGTTTACATAACAGGCTTTCCCTGCTAATCACCTGTACTGGCACTTCTCTCAATGCCATTTCGTTATTTTTCCCTTCGTGGTTCCTGGAGGTAGGGCTTTATATCCATGTTTGGAAACAAGGGATTGGTGGCTTCTTATCTCAACGGCCTTATGATTGCTTTGTACCAAACATTGTAGGCATGGATTGCGATGCCCTCTATCCACAGTTCCAAACAATGTTTACATGACTTCCAGCTGACTGTGGACTTATGGGCGGGAGTGGGGGGGGGGGGGTCTCATGAATTTTGTAGGATTTTCTTCAGGTCATATAAGGCATATATACAGGCATATAATGCATTGAACTGCATTATATGTTCAGTGTAGACCAGGCATGGGCAAACTTCAGCTCTCCAGGTGTTTTGGACTTCAACTCCCACCATTCCTAACAGCCGGTAAACTATGCTTCTTTAATTGGCTGGCGTCTGACCTTGACAATATTGTATTACATTATAATATTATAAATATTATATGTATATACAGTATATAATATTGTATAATATTAATAGTATATATGTGTGTGTTTGTGTATATATGTAGTTTTGCGCATGTGTTGTAATGTATTTATTTTATTTTTTGGCTTTTAAGGTATTTTTTGCTGTGTTTTTTCCGTGCTTTTATGAGTGATGGTTGCTTCTTGGCCTGATATGTGTCTTGTGTCCAAATTTGGTGTCAATCCGTCCAGTGGTTTTTGAGTTATGTTAATCCCACAAACAAACATTACATTTTTATTTATATAGATAGGTAAAGGTTTTCCCCTGACATTAAGTTTATATATTTATTTATTTCTGGTATTTATATCCCGTCTCTTCTCTACCCTGAAAGAGGGACTCAGGACGGCTTACACAGGCAACAATTCGATGCCATTACATGAACAATTAATACAATAACCATTAAACAAAAACCATAAAACCATTAAAATACATAAAATGCATAAGCCATTAATTAAACAGTATAAAATCTTAATTACCAATAAAACCGTATCCTCCTGTAAATCGCCTTTCCAGTCATGTCCGATCTTGGGAAGTAGTGTTCATCTCCATTTCTAAGCCAAAGACACCTCCTAGGTCATTTGGCCAGCATGACTGCATGGAACGCTGTTACTTTCCCGCTGGAGCTGTACTTATTGATCTACTCACATTTGCATGTTTTCGAACTGCTAGGTTGGCAGAAGCTGGGGCTAACAGCGGGAGCTCACCCTGCTCCCCGGATTTGAACCTGCGACCTTTCAAACAGCAAGTTTAGCAGCTCAGCACTTTAACCCAGTGCATTAATTCTATAATGTAGACATACCCCAAGAGAAAGCATTCACTTGCAGATCTTAAAGCTGGAGACAGTCGTATAGGGAGATAATGTCTCATTATCTCATTATAATGTCTCATTATAATGTTTCGTAAAGGCTGATCTGGCTGGGGTGGTCCATGCCTTGGTCACCTCTAGATTGGACTGCTGTAATGCGCTCTACGTGGGGCTGCCCTTGAAAACGGCTCGGAAATTCCAACTGGTCCAACGGTCGGCGGCCAGGATGTTAACTGGCGCTCCTTACAGAGAGAGGTCAACCCTCCTGTTTAAGGAGCTCCATTGGCTGCCGTTCATCTTCTGGTCCCAATTCAAGGTGCAGGTGCTCACCTACAAAGCCCTAAACGGTTTGGGACCCGCCTACCTGCGTGACCGCATCTACATATATGAACCCACACATTCCCTTTGATCATCTGCTCACGATCCCACCTGCGTCACAAGCTCGTTTGGTGGGGACGAGGGACAGGGCCTTCTTTGTGGTGGCCCCCCCGACTCTGGAACTCTCTCCCCAGGACATCAGACAAGCCCCAACGTTGGCAATCTTTAGGAAGAACCTGAAGACCTGGCTGTTCCAGTGTGCCTTTCCAGATTAGGAAACTCCTGGCATCGTGTCCCAAATGCACTTTGTTAGAGACTAGGATTGTCTGCACATTGCACCTACCTCCAAAAAAACTCTACATATCTCCTGTCAAGTTCAGCACTCTTAATTTTATCCATTACATTTGGCCCGGCCTTTTTAGATTTTAAATGCATCATGTGTCATTGTTTTTAGTGTTTATTGTCTTTGCTTGATGTTTTATTATTTGCTTATGAGTTTTACTGTTATATTTGTGTGTTGCTGTTGTTGCGGCCTTGGCCTTTGTAAGCCGCATCGAGTCCTTCGTGTGATTTTGCGGGGTATAAATAAAGTTAATAATAAATAATAATAATCTTCTCCCAATCTCTCTCTCTCTCACACCCAAACAGATATGGGATCTGGCCATTCGGTGTGTTCGGCAAACTAGGCATCCCAGGTCCCAAGCCCCTGCCTTTCTTGGGAACTCTCCTTGCGTACCGCAAAGTAAGTAATTCCTGGAAGAGCCTGTGCACCTTCTGTTTGTGAACTTTCCCGGAGCGCCCAGCTCCATCTGATGCGCCAAGGCGATTAATGGTCTTAAATGTTTTCCCCTCAGGGTTTTGTGAAGTTTGATAGCTGGTGCTTCCAGAAATATGGGCGAATCTGGGGGTAAGTGATCTTTTATTACAAGCTTGTATTTCTCAGGGAAGCCGCCGTCCTATCGTGGCAATAAACTAAGCGCAAGGAGGACATGCTCTTCCCCATCCCGCAAAAAAAGCCCTTAATCTGTAATTGGATCAGTTTGGTGGAATCTCGGGTAAAGGCTCCAGCAAGCTATCCATGTTTGTTTACCACTGGCGGTCCCTATATTCTATTGCTTACCTTATAAACCTCTGTAATCCTCTCTCCATTTCGCTCTCTCTCTCTCTCCCTCTGACTTTTATTTCATTGCAATTCTCTGCTGATTCACACAACAATCCTAACCCAGAGGAGAGTGTGGTTGGCTGGTAGTTAGCATTTGAGCTTAGTGCAAAACACCATCAGGGTAAAGTATTGTTGAAGGCTATTGTTGTGGCCGGAATCACGGGGTTGCTGTAAGTTTTTCGGGCTGTATGACCATGTTCCAGAAGCATTCTCTCCTGACATTTTGCCTATGGCAGGCACCCTCAGAGATTGTGCAGGCAAAACATCAGGAAAGAATGCTTCTGGAACATGGTATTTATTTATTTATCCATCATGTCAGGAGCAAACCAAACAGTTGTATTGCATTTTTAACAAACAAACAAACAAACAAAGCACAAAGTTTGCAAGCTTGGTAGTTGATTAAATGTCTTTTGACCAGTATGTGGCCACTTGGAGTGCCTCTGGTGTTACTATAAGAAGGTCCTCCATTGTGCATGTGGCAGGGCTCAGGTTGCATTGCAATAGGTGGTAAGTGGTTTGCTCTTCTCCGCACTCGCATGTCGTGGATTCCACTTCGTAACTCCATTTCTCTGCATCTTGTGGTGCCAGAGCGCAGTCTGCTCAGCGCCTTCCAAGTCGCCCAGTCTTCTGTGTGCCCAGGGGGGAGTCTCTCATTTGGTATCAGCCATTGGTTGAGGTTCTGGGTTTGAGCCTGCCACTTTTGGACTCTCGCTTGCTGAGGTGTTCCAGCGAGTGTCTCTGTAGATCTTAGAAAGCTATTTCTAGATTTAAGTCGTTGACGTGCTGGCTGATACCCAAACAAGGGATGAGCTGGAGATGTCTCTGCCTTGGTCCTTTCACTATTGGTGCTACTTCCCGGCGGATGTCAGGTGGTGCAATACCGGCTAAGCAGTGTAATTTCTCCAGTGGTGTAGGGCGCAGACACCCCGTGATAATGCGGCATGTCTCATTAAGAGCCACATCCACTGTTTTAGTGTAGTGAGATGTGTTCCACACTGGGCATGCATACTCAGCAGCAGAGTAGCATAGCGCAAGGGCAGATGTCTTCACTGTATCTGGTTGTGATCCCCAGGTTGTGCCAGTCAGCTTTCGTATGATATTGTTTCTAGCACCCACATTTTGCTTGATATTCAGGCAGTGCTCCTTGTAGGTCAGGGCACGGTCCAGAGTGACTCCCAGGTATGTGGGTGCGCTGCAATGCTCCAGTGGGATTCCTTCCCAGGTAATAATCCTCAGAGCTCAGGATGCTTGTCTGTTCTAGAGATGAAAGGCACATGTCTGTGTTTTAGGTGGGTTAGGGATCAGCTGGTTTTCCCTGTAATAGGCAGTAAGAGCACCTAGCGCTTTGGAGAGCTTCTGTTCTACCATCTCAAAGCTCTGGAACATGGTCATACAGCCTGAAAAACTTACAGCAATCCATCATGGTAAGTCAGTCTTCTTCAAGCCTTACCTATCAAAGGTTTTGGATTCTACTTCCCATCATCCCCAAATATACTCAGTTGGGTGTGATATGGAAGTTGTGGTCTGGTGCATTGCATTATTTATTTATCATGTCAGAAGCAAATTGAAAATACGGTTATAATGCATTTAAAAAACAAAACAAAGTTAAAAACTTGGCATTATACTAAATTATACTAAACACTTGGAATGCCTCCGGTGTCGCTATGCGAAGGTCCTCCATTGTGCATGTGGCAGGGCTCAGGCTGCATTGTAGTCAGTGGTCTGTGGTTTGGTCTCCTCCTCACTCGCATATCGCGGACTCCACTTTGTACCCCCATTTCCTAAGATTGGCTCTGCATCTCGTGGTGCCAGAGCGGAGTCTGTTCAGCACCTTCCAAGTCGCCCAGTCTTCTCTGTGCCCAGGAGGGAGTTTCAGCCACTGAGTGAGGTTCTAGATTTTTACCTGCCAAATTTGGACTCTTGCTTGCTGAGGGATTTTTTTAATTTTAAAAAATTATACTTTGCCCTTCTCATCCTGAAGGGGACTCAGGCCGGAGCACAGCATATATACAGCAAACATTCAATGCCGGGACAAGAATTCATATATGCATACATAAACATAAAAAAACATTTATCTCAATATTAAAATACACCATTTAAAACCGTCTTGGTCATCTGCCCTGTCCTGAAAGCTTGCTCCCACAGCCAAGTTATTACCATCCTTCTGAAGGACAGGAGGGAGAGGGCCGATCTGATCTCACTAGGAAGGGAGTTCCATAGCCGGGGAGCAATCACCGAGAAGGCCTTGGTCCAGTGGCTGGTCATTTGTGTAAATGTTAAACATTGATGGTGCAAGCTGGTTTTCCCTGTAATATGCAATAAGAGCATCTAAAGCTTTGGATAGCTTCTGTTTAACCATTTCAAAGCTCCTTGCTTGGGTGGTGATGGCACGATCGTCAGCATAGATGAAACTCTCTGTCCCTTCTGGCAGTGGCTGGTCATTTGTGTAACTGTTTAGCAACTTGCAGTATGCATTGCAAAAGCATTGTATGTGGGAAGAGGGTGAAACTCAGGGCGATAGCCAATCCAATAGTAATAATAATAACAACAATAATAACAAGAATATATTTTATTTCTTACCTGCTACTCCTTAAGGTTCCAGGTGGAATACAACACAGTTAAAATATATACAAGCCAGACCATTTATATATATTAAAAGACCTCAACACAAGTTTAAAACACTCATAATATTGAATGTTTTGACCCAAGAATACCACAGAATTTGACTGGAAGATCTAGAAAATACTGAAGAAGGTTGCCTCTAACGCTTCTAGATCCTTCAGTGCAAGTCCACAGTCAACTTCCAGCAGAAGTGCACCAAAGAATTGCATTTTAGGATCTAGAAAATGTCTCCAGAGAGCATATTGCTTTGGATGTGGATATGAAAAAGTGTATTGTACTTAAAACACACAGTCAACCGAATTTTTACGTATTTCTTCTTAATTCAGGATTTATGATGGCCGTCAGCCTGTAATAGCTGTCCTGGATCCTGCTATTATTAAGGCAGTGCTAGTGAAGGAATGTTACACCACTTTCACCAACCGACGGGTAAGCCTCCGTATTTTATTACATTACTACATATTATGGAGGGAGCATGGAGCCAAGGATCTTTCTGAGCGAAATTGGGGTTGGTGGAGGAATGGACAACTTCACCCCCAAATGTCAAGTGTGAGCTGATTTACACAGCTGCCACTCAGATATCTCCAAAGGCTTTTGGTAACAGAGCTTGGGGGTCCTCCTGGACTCAACGCTGTCGCTTGATGCTCAGGTGTCAGTGGTGGCCGGGAGGGCCTTTGCACAACTCAAACTTGTGCGCCAGCTGCGACCATACCTCGTGAAGTCTGACTAGGCCAGGGTGGTCCATGCCTTGGTTACATCCAAACTGGACTGTTGTAATGCGCTCTACGTGGGGCTGCCCTTGAAGACGGCCCGGAAGTTTGAACTGGTACAGCAGGCGGCAGCCAGGCTCCTTACTGGAGCAAACTATACTTACTTACTTACTTACTTTACTTACTTACTTAGGCGATCCCTCGCTTTCTGAGGATGATTGTCTTCCAGTGTTCTTGTGGGTCCGTATGTGGCTGTGGAGCCCTATTCTTGCTCTGCATCTTCTTCTGCAGTGAGAGCATTGGTTTCCAGGTGGAAGGCGTTCTCAGTCGGGGTTGGCTTGACGCTCCTTCCTCTTGGCATGTTTCTCTTTTTCACCCTCCATTCGTGCCTCTTCAAATTCTGCAGCACTGCTGGTCACAGCTGACCTCCAGCTGGAGCGGTCAAGGGCCAGGGCTTCCCAGTTCTCAGTGTCTATTCCGGAGTTTTTAAGGTTGGCTTTGAGCCCATCTTTAAATCTCTTTTCTTGTCGTCCAACATTCCGTTTTCCGTTCTTGAGTTCGGAGTAGAGCAACTGCTTTGGGAGACGGTGGTCGGGCATCCGGACAACGTGGCCGGTCCAGTGGAGTTGATGGCGGAGGAGCATCGCTTCAATGCTGGTGGTCTTTGCTTCTTCCAGCACACAGACGTTTGTCCGCCTGTCTTCCCAAGAGATTTGCAGGATTTTCCGGAGGCAGCGCTGATGGAATCGTTCCAGGAGTTGCATGTGATGTCTGTAGACAGTCCACGTCTCACAGGCATAGAGCAGGGTTGGGAGGACAATAGCTTTATAGACAAGCACCTTGGTATCCCTACGGATGTCCCGGTCCTCAAACACTCTCTGCTTCATTTGGAAAAATGCTGCGCTCGCAGAGCTCAGGCGATATTGCATTTCGGTGTCCTTACTGGAGCAAACTATAGGGAGCATACAACACCCCTATTAAAACAGCTTCATTGGCTGCCGATAAGTTGCCAAGCCAAATTCAAGGTGCAGGTCATGAACTATAAAGCCCTAAACCAGTGGTTCTCAACCTTCATGACCCCTTAATACAGTTCCTCATGTTGTGGTGACCCCCAACCATAAAACAGTAGTAATGTTGCTACTGTTATGAATCGTAATGTGGGGTTGGGGGTGGGATTGATTTTGTCATTTGGGAGTTGTCGGTGCTGGGATTTAGAGTTAACCTATAATCAAAGAGCATTCTGAACTCCACCAACAATGGAATTGAACCGAACTTGATACACAGAACTCCCATGAGCAACAGAAATTACTGGAAAGATTTGGTGTGCATTGACTTTGAGTTTTGGAGTTGTAGTTCACCTACATCCAGCGAGCACTGCGGGCTCAAACAATGATGGATCTGGACCAAACTTGACATGGATACTCAATATGCCCAAATGTGAACACTGGTGGAGTTTGGGGAAAATATGTCAGAGTGAGACCCTGGGGTCTATGCGCAGCGGAATTGAGGTTACTAGATCACACAGACACAAAACAGGACACTGCAGTCTGCCAGTTTCAGAAAATAACATCAAGTTTTTACTCAGCACATCTCTACACGTCTACTTCTCAGCGGGCTACATCATGAACTACAAAGCACAGCACAAAACAGTATTCAGAACATTGGCTTATCAGTTTCACTTTGGCTGTAAGCCGGATACTCCCTAATTCTTGCCAGACAGAGAGAACTTGTTATCTTACTTCTGTCAAGGTCTTTTCTTCTCTGCCTCTCTTTCTCTTACAACAACAATTCCAGCATACAATTGAACATAACTGAATCCATCTTGAATACATATGAACACCATTGTTAATCATATTGAAACACATTGAAAAAACATACATGCATACTTTCAATAATCCTGACAATTCCTCCTCTTTTTAAATGTGATTCTATAACTCTAATACATACATGTGGTCTGCATAACTGTAACATCTTAACTCTTAACTTTCAACATTTAATATTCACTTTAACATTTATATGCTCTTCTTAACTTCTACATTAACTTCATCATTCATTTGCTTTTTCTCAACTTCTTTGCAATCTTATAACTTCTTCAAAATAGACCTTGACATTTGGAAGTTGTGGTTGCTGGGATTTCTAGTTCACCCACAATCAAAGAACCTTCTATATCTCACCAATGATAGAATTGGGTGAAACTTCCCACACGGAACACCCATGACCAACAGAAAATATTATGCTTTCTGATTGTCTTTGGTGACCCCTCTGACACCCCCTCGTGACCCCCCCCCCAGGGGTCCCGACCCCCAGGTTGGGAAACACTGCCCTAAACAGTTCGGGCTCCACCTATCTCTGCAATCGAATCTCCTTCTGTGAACTGGCACAAGCTCTAAGATCTTCCGGGGAGGCCCTTCTCTCGGTCCCACTACCGTCTCAAGCGCGGTTGGTGGGGATGAATGAGAGGGCCTTCTCGGTGGTGGCCCCCCCCCGCCTCTGGAACACCCTTCCAAGGGAAATAAGACATGCCCCATCCCTCCCCTCCTTTCGTAAGAGCTTGAAGACCTGGTGGTTTCAACAAGCCTTTGAAAATGTTTATTATTATTATTATTATTATTATTATTATTATTATTCCTTTGTCACATCTAGAATTTTGGTGCCACTGGGATCTTGAAGTCGGCGATTTCCTTGGCGGAAGATGAACACTGGAAGAGGATGCGGACCGTGCTTTCCCCGACCTTCACCAGCGGGAAGCTGAAGGAGGCAAGGAAAAGATAAAGATGCGATTGAAATTATGACCACTGGCTGGAATCCATATCCATAGTTACAAATGTATATCCCATAGTTCTTATTAACAACCCCTACATGGTCATAATCGTGGCACCAGAGTAAGCAATGCATTGGGATCACAAAGCAAACCCAAGGAAAGGGTTGACCTCATTGGGCATCCTATCCCAAAAGCATTGCAAGAATGTGGCCAAAATGGCGATAGGAAGTGGTATGATGGGACATCAGGTCGCCATTTGGGCTTCTAGGTGGAAGGTGGTCCTGGTCAGGGTTGGCTTGACGCGCCTTCTTATTCTTGGCACGTTTCTCCCTTTCGCCCTCCATCCGTGCCTCCTCGAATTCTGCAGCACTGCTGGTCACAGCTGACCTCCAGTTAGAACGTTCAAAGGCCATGGCTTCCAGGTGGAAGTTGGTCCTGGTCAGGGTTGGCTTGGCGTGCCTTCTTATTCTTGGCACGTTTCTCCCTTTCGCCCTCCATACATGCCTCTTCGAATTCTGCAGCACTGCTGGTCACAGCTGACCTCCAGTTAGAACGTTCAAAGGCCATGGCTTCCAGGTGGAAGTTGGTCCTGGTCAGGGTTAGCTTGACGCACCTTCTTACTCTTGGCACATTTCTCCCTTTTGCCTTCCATCCGTGCCTCTTTGACTTCTGCAGCACTGCTGGTCACAGCTGACCTCCAGTTAGAGCGCTCGAAGGCTAATGCTTCCCAGTTCTCTCTCAGTGTCTATGCCACAGTTTGTAAGCTTCGCTTTAAGCCCATCTTTCAATCTCTTTTCCTATCCATCAATGTTATGTTTCCTGTTCTTGAGTTGAGAGTGTAGTATCTTCTGTGGGAGATGGTGATCGGGCATTTAGACAACGTGGCTCTGAGAAATATAATTGCTCTGGACCAAGTTAAGCTTACTTACTTACATTGGCAATCCTTCGTAGCCTGAGGATGCTGGTCCTCCAAGTCTGGTGTCTTGGCAGTGGGTCTGTGGGTGGCTGTGGAGCCCTACTCTTGATCTGTATGTTCTCCTGCAGTGAGGACATCGGTTTCCAGGTGGAAGGCGGTCCTGGTCAGGGTTGGCTTGATGCGCCTTCTTACTCTTGGCACATTTCTCCCTTTCGCCCTCCATCCGTGCCTCTTTGACTTCTGCAGCACTGCTGGTCACAGCCGACCTCCAGTTAGAGCCTGAGGATGATGGTCCTCAAAGTCTAATGTCTTGGTGGTATGTCCGTAGGTGGCTGTGGAGCCCTACTCTTGATCTGCATGTTCTCCCGCAGAGAGGACATCGGTTTCCAGGTGGAAGGTGGGCCTGGTCAGGGTTGGCTTGACATGATTTCTTCTTCTTGGCACGTTTCTCTCTTTCACCCTCCATCCGTGCCTCTTTGACTTCTGCAGCACTGCTGGTCACAGCTGACCTCTAGTTAGAGCCAGAGGATGATGATCCCCCAAGTCTGGTGTCTTGGCGGTGGGCCCGTAGGTTGCTGTGACGCCCTACTCTTGATCTGCATGTTCTCCTGCAGTGAGGACATCGGTTTCCAGGTGGAAGATGGTCCTGGTCAGGATTGGCTTGATGCGCCTTCTTCTTGGCACGTTTCTCCCTTTCGCCCACCATCCGTGCCTCTTTGACTTCTGCAGCACTGCTGGTCACAGCTGACCTCTAGTTAGAGCGCTTGAGGGCTAGTGTTTCCCAGTTTTCTCTTGGTGTCTATGCCACAATTTTTAAGGTTGGTTCGTGAGTTGGGAGTATAGCGACTGCTTTGGGAGACGGTGATCGGGCATTTGGAAAACGCGGCTCTGAGAAATACAATCGCTCTGAGCCAAGTTAAGCTTACTTACTTACTTAGGTGATCCCTCATAGCCCAAGGATGATGGTCCTCAAAGTCTAGTGTCTTGGTGGTGGGTCCCTAGGTGGCTGTGGAGCCCTACTCTTGATCTGTATGTTCTCCCGCAGTGAGGACCTCAGTTTCCAGGTGGAAGGTGGTCCTGGTCAGGGTTGGCTTGATGTGCTTTCTTACTCTTGGCATGTTTCTCCCTTTTGCCCTCCATCCGTGCTTCCTTGACTTCTGTAGCACTGCTGGTCACAGCTGACCTCCAGTTAGAACGCTTAAAGGCCAGGGCTTCCCAGTTCTCTCTCGGTGTCTATGCCACAGCTTGTAAGCTTAGCTTTAAGCCTCTCTTTCAGTCTCTTTTCCTGTCCATCAACGTTATGTTTCCTGTTCTTGAGTTGAGAGTATAGTATCTGTTGTGGGAGATGGTGATCGGGCATGTGGACAACATGGCTCTGAGAAATACATTCACTCTGGGCCAAGTTAAGTTTACTTAGGCAATCCTTTGTAGCCTGAGGATAAGTTAAGCTTACTTACTTACTTAGGCGATCCCTCATAGTCCAAGGATGATGGTCCCCGAAGTCTAGTGTCTTGGTGGTGGGTCCGTAGGTGGCTGTGGAGTCCTACTGTTGATCTGCATGTTCTCCCGCAGTGAGAACATAGTTTTCCAGGTGGAATGCGGCCCCAGTCAGGGTTGGCTTGACACGCTTTCTTCTCTTGGCACTGGCTTCCAGGTGGAAGGCAGTCCTGGTCGGGGTTGGCTTGATGCGCCTTCCTCTTGGCATGTTTCTTCCTTTTGCTCCTCCATTTGTCCCTCTTCAAATTCCTCAGCATTGCTGGTCCCAGCTGACTTCCAGTTAGAGCACTCGAGGGCCAGGGCTTCCCAGTTCTCAGTGTCGATGCCACAGTTTTTAAGGTTGGCTTTAAGCCCATCTTTCAATCTCTTTTCCTCTCCAGCAACGTTATGTTTCCTGTTCTTGAGTTGGGAGTATAGTAACTGCTATTGGGCATTCGGACAACGTGGCTCTGAGAAATATAATCGCTCTGAGCCAAGTTAAGCAAACCAGATGGTTTTGGTCCAGACATTTCCTGATGGAGGAAATTGCTGAAAACGAAAACCAAGACGCACCAGACATAAACCCACCCCACTTTGGTGTTTATCGTGATTTATCCGCCTCCCACAGGCTTTTTGGAACTCATTTGCAGGTAAGAAGGGAAGCCATCTGCAGATGCTGAAAGGTGCACCTGTCAATTTGTATTTCAGATGTTCCCCATTATAAAACACTATGGGGAGGCTCTGATGCAAAACGTTCAGAAGAAAGTGGATAAGGACGAGCCGGTGGTTGTGAAAGAGTAAGTCATTTGGACTTTGGGAGAGATCAACGTAGTTTTTTTGTCCATTCCGGATGAGCAATGGCCTTAAGACGAAATGCAAAATTCTGGTAGGGGAATAGCTGGAAAGTCAAAATAATATCGGCCCTGTGTACACTCTGAACAAGATGTTACCCACAAGGTTGGAAAAGGGCTGTCCGTGCTGATAGGAGACATGCTTTGTGTTAGACATGGAGAATCACAACTACACTTACAATAGCTGTCAGAGGAAGATAGATAGCTCCTTCCTCGGACTGTCTCCTTGTTATCTTGTGCAATGTCTTGCTCTCTTGCCCGCAGATTGAAGGTTCATCTTGATATCAGGTCTATATGAGCTTGGTACCTCTTTACACGGGGTGCATACATCTACACTGTAGAACGAATCCAGTTTGGCACCACTTAAATCTGTGGTTCTCAAACATCCTAATGCCGCAACCCCTTAATACAGTTCCTCATGTTGTGGTGACCCCCAACCATAACATTATTTTCATTGCTACTTCCTAACTGTAATTTTACTACTGTTATGAATTGTCATGGAAATATCTGATATACAGGTTGTATTTTCATTCACTGGACCAAATTTAGGACAAATACCCCATACGCCCAAATTGGTGGTTTTGGGAGGTTGATTTTGTCGTTTGGGAATTGTAGTTACTGGGATTTATAGTTCACCTTCAATCAAAGAGCATTCTGAACTCCACCAATGATGGAATTGAACCAAACTTGGCCCACAGAACTCCCCTGACTAACGGAAAATACTGGAAATGTTTGGTTGGGCATTGACCTAGAGTTTGGGAGTTGTAGTTTACCTACATCCAGAGACCATGGTGGACCCAAACAATGATGGATCTGGACCACACTTGGCACGGATACTCAATGTGCCCAAATGTGAACACTGGTGGAGTTTGAGGAAAATAGACCTTGATATTTGGGAGTTGTAGTTGTTGGGATTGATAGTTCACCTACACTCAAAGAGCATTCTGAATTCCACCAATGATGGAATTGAACCAAACTTGGCACACCAAACTCCCCTGACGAACAGAAAATACTAGAAAAGTTTGGTGGGCCTTGAGACCTTGAGTTTGGGAGTTGTAGTTCACCTACATCCAGAGAGCAAAGTGGACTCAAACAATGATGGATCTGGACCACACTTGGTACAGATACTCAATATGCCCAAATATGAACACTGGTGGAGTTTGGGGAAAATAGACCTTGATATTTGCGAGTTGTAGTTGCTGGGATTGATAGTTCACCTACAATTAAAGAGCATTCTGAACTCCACCAATGATGGAATTGAACCAAACTTGGCCCACCGAACTCCCCTGACCAACAGAAAATACTGTAAAAGTTTGGTGGGCAAACAATGATGGATCTGGACCAAACTTGGTACGGATACTCAGTATGCCCAAATGTGAACACTGGTGGAGTTTGGGGAAAACAGACCTTGATATTTGGGAGTTGTAGTTGCTGGGATTGATAGTTCACCCACAATTAAAGAGCATTGTGAACTCCACCAATGATGGAATTGAACCAAACTTGACCCACAGAACTCCCCCGACCAATAAAATATACTGGAAGGGTTTGGTGGGCATTGACCTTGAGTTTTGGAGTTGTAGTTCACCTACATCCAGAGAGCACAGTGGACTCAAACAATGATGGATTTGGACCAAACTTGGCATGAATACTCAATATGCCCAAATGTGAACACTGGTGGAGTTTGGGGAAAATAGACATTGATATTTGGGAGTTGTAGTTGCTGGGATTGTAGTTCACTTACAATTTATTTATTTTGTATCAAAAGCATTGCATAAATTAGTATAAAGCTGATAAAAATAGAAGGCACGCAGGCGGCTAAATATCTTTTGACCAAAAACAGGCAACAGCAACAGCATTGTCTGTAGCCTCCAACAATTCCTCCTCTGTACATGAGGCAGGGCACAATGGACAAGCATAAAGATGCCGAGTTGTCTGTTCTGCTCCACAGTCAAACAAGATATGGGATTTGTTTAGGTAGTGCCATTTTGCCAGGTTGTCTTTTAATATGACCACTCCACCAAAATTGGCACAAATACTCAGTTTGCCCAAATATAAACACTGGTGGAGTTTGGGGAAAATAGACCTTGACATTTGGGAGTTGTAGTTGCTGGGATTGACATTCACCTACAATTAAAGAGCATTCTGAACTCCACTTGTAAAAATACAATTCCACAAGACAGTTGCTCTTTGAGCTTTGTTAACCTGGTGTCTTCTAAAATTATATATCATTGATTTTGTTTACGTGCTCGATTTGAACGCTCTCTTCTGCCATCATCTCCCATAGTGTCTTTGGAGCCTACGCCATGGATGTGGTCACCAGTACCGCCTTCGGGGTGAACATCGACTCCATGAATAACCCCAAAGACCCTTTTGTCAAAGAGATCCAAAAACTCACCAAGTTTCGCTCTTTTGATCCGCGCATCATTCTGTTGTGTAAGTCCACTTCTGGCTTTCCGATTACCTTCTTTTTTGAATTCCTGAAGGAGTGTTGAACTCTAGGGATCTTTCCTCCTTTTCACTGGGCATTTCTCTTCTTTGCAGTTACTTTCCCAATCTTGCGAACCGTGTTTGAGGCACTGAACATCCAAGTCTTCTCCGCAGAAGCCTTAGACTTCTTCACAAGGTCATTTGCAAAAATGAAGGCAGCGAGAGTGAAGGAGACCAAAGAGGTAAACACTGGGGTTGGGTGAAGTGTTTGAAGTGAACAGATTTGGCATGAAAGGGGTCTTTTGCAAGGACGGTTGTTGCACCAGGCTGTTGCTTCTGCCAACTGATGTTAATGCTCACTCACGTTCCAAAAGTTCATAAAGTTCTACCATGGCAGTGGCCACCTTGATCAGGAGATTCTGGAAGCAGAAGCCCACAAAACTAACTCTCTGAATGAAAAGTGATGCCTCCACCTTCGTAACTCCTAAACAGATGGCAGTCCTGGTATGCAGCAGGTACTGGCTTGTTCAGTAGACTCTACTATACAGTTCCATTTTGGCAGGAAGCTTTAGCATTGAATTGTTATGTTGTTAAGTGTGAAGTATAGAACCCTGCACAGGCAGTCGGTCAATGCAACTTAAGCACCGTGCAGTCATTGAATTCTTGACAGCAGAAGGTGTTGCCCCAAAGGAGATTCATCAGAGAATGCAAGCTGTTTATGGTGATTGCGTTGATGTGAGTACTCTGTGTCGTTGGGCAAGTAAGTTTAAAGATGTTGAGGTGGGAACATCTGACTCGCATGACAAACAAAGAGTTGGATGTTCTGTGACAGCAACCACTGAGTTTCACAAGCAAAAGTTTGACAGATTGATTCAGGACGATCATCGTATCACTCAGAGTGAAATTTCAAGCATAATCAGAATTGTATTGTCAAAGGCTTTCATGGCCGGAATCACTGGGTTGTTGTAGGTTTTTTCGGGCTATATGGCCATGGTCTAGAGGCATTCTCTCCTGATGTTTCGCCTGCATCTATGGCAAGCATCCTCAGAGGTCTCTTGGAACAGAGGTATTGAGGTTCCAACAGACCTCACGACCTCTGAGGATGCTTGCCATAGATGCAGGCGAAATGTCAGGAGAGAATGCCTCTAGACCATGGCTATATAGCCCGAAAAAAACTACAACAACGCAATAATCAGAATTTCACAAGAAATTATGGGTCACATTATTGCTTTGCTTCGCTATCAGAAGATCTGTGCATGATGCGTACCCAGGATGAGAGAACTGTGAGACGCTGGTTGCGGAAACAGAGTGTCGACTTCTTCCGTGACGGTTTCAGAATTTTTTTTAAATTGGTAGAAATGTATCCAGTTGTCTGGTGATTATGTGGAAAAGTGTAGTTAACGAGCACATTCTAAGGATTATTTCTGTGTTTGATTTATTAGAATATTCCCATCCAAACCCAAGTAACGAAGGTGGAGGCATTACTTTTCATTCAACGCTCATAAGATCTGACGGAGTCTGAGGATGACTTCTGTTAAAAAAAATGATTTAAAATTCTTATAAATCGAAATTTTGATGGAATATATGGAAATGAGATGGAGGTGTACTCTGAACTCCATATGAGCAAGCATCCTGTCTGGATTGTGATACATCCTAGAATAGAGACGATTGTTTCAGAACATCTAGACTTCAAAAACAAATAAATGCATATCTCCCATTCATAATTTGGTCATGGCCTAAACTTGATTTTCCCTCCACTTTCTCTCTCCTTCCATGGGTTCCTTCATTTCAATCCAGGGTCGAGTGGACTTCTTGCAGCTGATGATTGACTCCCAGACTTCCAACGGCAACCACCAAAGCAATGGGATTGAACATAATTATAAAGGTAACGTTGGGCACTGTTGAGATTGGCTCTAAAGAAGTAAATTGAATTTCTGAGAAGTAGTTGTTCATTCGTTCAGTCACTTCCAACTCTTCGTGACCTCATGAATCAACCCATGCCAGAGCTCCCAGTCAGCCGTGATCACCCCCAGCTCCTTCAGGGTCAAGCCAGTCACTTCAAGGATCCATCCATCCACCTTGCCCTTGGTCGGCCCCTCTTCCTTTTGCCTTCCATTTTTCCCAGCATCATTGTCTTCTTCAAGCTTTCCTGTCTTCTCATGATGTGGCCAAAATACTTAATCTCTGCCTCTCATCTCCTTCCCTCCAGTGAGCAGTTGGGCTTTCTCTCCTGGAGGATGGACTGGGTGGATCTTCTTGCGGTCCATAACACTCTCAGAACTTTCCTCCAACACCACAATTCAAATCATCTATCTTCCATCGCTCAGTCTTCCCTGAGAAGTGGGAAGGTTCAAAAGACATTCCCATTGCTTTCCAGATAGGAATGTACTTTTAATAATCTTTCTCACTTCATGGGCTGAGATGATTTGTCATTATGATTGTCCAGGCCAACTCCCACCCTACATTAGAAGTCTATGTACACTATATCCATCCTTCCTAACCTTTGTCCTCCAGGTGTTTGGGACTTCTACTCCAAGAAGCCCCACCCAACTTGGCCAACTCTCAGGAATTCTGGGAGTTGAAGCCCAAAAACATCTGGAGGACCAAAGGTTGGGATCTATCACACTATACAGTAGTAAGAAATCATTATAGCCCTGTTGAAGGCTTTCATGGCCGGAATCACTGGGTTGTTGTAGGTTTTTTCGGGCTATATGGCCATGGTCTAGAGGCATTCTCTCCTGACGTTTCGGCTGCATCTATGGCAAGCATCCTCAGAGGTAGTGAGGTACCTCACTACCTCTGAGGATACTTGCCATAGATGCAGCCGAAACGTCAGGAGAGAATGCCTCTAGACCATGGCCATATAGCCCGAAAAAACCTACAACAACCCATTATAGCCCTTCTTGTTGAGGAACATTAATGGTCACCCTTGGTTCTTGGAAACTGCCTGCCTTGGAAAACTCAATGTCATCGCTTTGTTGGCTTGCTTGCCAGGCAGAAGCCAACTGGGCAAAAGTTATGAGCCTTGACCATTGAAGAGACCTTTATTTCCCCAAACTCCAAAACCAACAATGGCAAGTATGGCCAGAGAAGACAAGAACTAGAGTTCTTTTGATGATTTCTGCTGGTGTAACCAGGAATCACACTAAGATAACTCCCTTCTTTTGATATTACGTAAAGAGGTACCATTTTACGCAATGCTTTTACCCAGCTGTGTAATGGGCTGCCAAATGGTATCTGGATTCAGTATGTACTTTGGGTTGTTGTAGGTTTTTCGGGATATATGGCCATGTTCTAGAAGCATTCTCTCATGACGTTTCACCTGCATCTATGGCAGGTATCCTCAGAGGTTGTGAGGCTATGTCCAAGTAACCAGATGCAAAAGGTCTGGCTTTGTCCAAATAACCAGATGCAAAAGGTCTGACTTTGTCCAAATAACCAGATGAAAAAAGGTCTGGCTATGTCCAAGTAACCAGATGAAAAATGTCTGGCTATGTCCAAGTAACCAGATGCAAAAAGTCTGGCTATGTCCAAGTAACCAGATGCAAAAGGTCTGGCTTTGTCCAAGTAGCCAGATACAAAAGGTCTGGCTATGTCCAAGTAGCCAGATGCCAAATGTCTGGCTATGTCTAAGTAGCCAGATACAAAAGGTCTGGCTATGTCCAAGTAGCCAGATGCAAAAGGTCTGGCTATGTCCAAATAACCAGATGAAAAAGGTCTGGCTATGTCGAAGTAATAAGGTGCAAAAGGTTTGGCTATGTACCCCACCTCCATCTTCCCAAAGGCACTCAGGGCAGCTTACATGGGGACAGTTCCAATCAACATGGTTAAAATATGAAACATTACAATTCATAAAACAACATAAACAAATAAAAAACAGCATGACACAATTTAAAGCATCCGTTGAGCAATGGCTATGTCCAAGTAGCCAGATGCAAAAGATCTGGTTATGCCCAAGTAGCCAGATGCAAAAGCTCTGGCTACGTCTAAGTAGCCAGATACAAAAGGTCTGACTAAGTCCAAATAACCAGAAGCAAAAAAAAAAAAAAGTGCATCATGCACTGGAAATCCCAGAGAATCCTGGTGGATGTCAGTAGATAATATCCCAATTGTATATCTGGCTACAGGAATGCTTCTCTAATCCACCCCTTACTCTCACCCAGGGGCGGCTCGTCCATTACGCGAAGTAAGCGGTCGCAGAACACTTTTTTTTGCCAGGGGCGCTGAGGCGCCTCTGTAAATGCCCCTCGACCGCCACTTGAGGAGCGCCCCCTCAGCTCACAACAGCCCTAGCAGTCCGGGGGGAGCCTCGGCTTTCTTGCCTCGCTGCCGGGCGATCCTCTTCCCAAAGGGGCCGGGCCCTTGAGCCTCGCCTAGCCCCTCTCCTTCCTGCTCCACCGGCCACTGGGTGCATGAGCAGAGCTGGCGCTCAGTCATTCTCCACGTTCGATCCCTTCCCCATGACCGGCTCCCTTTCCCAATCCCCCGGCGCTCCACCCGCCTCCTCTCCTCTCCCCAATCCGCAGGTGGGCCAAGGGGCGGAGCCCCCGTGCCTGGCCCGCTTCGGGTCCGGAGGCATGTCTAAAGACCCCAGCGTGCGCACCAAAAGTCACCTCTTCTCCCGACTTTCTCTTCAGCCATTGGGACTAAGAGAGAGAGCCCCTCCGGCTGGAGGTATCTCCCACCTCCGCTCTCTCCTTTGTTTTTGCGCCTACCTTCAGGAAAGGTGGGCATCTCCACCTCTGTGTCTCTCTCTCTCTCTTGGTCCCAATGGCTGAGGAGAAAGTCAGGAGAAGAAATGACTTTTGGTGCACACGCCGGGGTCTTCAGGCACGCCTCCGGACCCAAAACGGGCCAGACAAGAGAGCAAGTGCGGCAAGTGTAGTTACTGGGATGTATAGTTCACCTACAATCAAAGAGCATTCTGAACTCCACCAATGATGGAATTGAACCAAATATGGCACACAGAACTCCCACGACAAACAGAAAATATATATCAATGATTGGTTGGGGGGGGCAAAATACTGTTTGCTTACCGTTGAAAATAACCTAGGGCCACCTCTGCTCTCACCAAAGACACAATGGGTCTCACAACCCTTGAGGATGCCTGCCATATATGCAGGCGAAATGTCAGGAGAGAATGCTTCTACAACATGGCCATATAGCCTGAAAAACCTACAACAATCTAATGATTCCAGCCATGGAAGCCTTCGACAATAGTGTGTACTTTCCTAGTTCCTTTTCACGGGCATCTGCTATCTGTCTTCACCCTTCCCTTTCTCTGGCCTCCCTTTAGTTCTGAGTTCTCATTCCTCCTTAAGAAAACACTAGTAGAACTTGATGTTCCTCCAGCTTCAGATGGGATCTTTTTCATGAGTTAGCAGTATATATTTTTAAAAGAAGCTCTGATCCCTGTTGACAAGAATGCACAAAAGCCAATGTGAAGTTTTCTTTGGTGTGGTCTCCAAACACATTCCACTATGGCACAAAGAAGTGGGAGTGAAAAGTTTCCTCTTTTTTGTTGACAGACTGCTGGATTTAAAAATGGGGGGGGGGGGAGCAAACAAAAACACACACAAGGTGTGTTTCATGTATTCATATCCTTTTCTTTCTCCCTTTTTTGAATACAAAGATTGCCTCGGCTATTGTTGCTATGGTATAAGGCGAATACGGCAGTTTCTTGGCAGCGTTTCTAGGTACACAAAACCACAAAGCAGGGATCATTTGCCTATTGTGTGAGCAACTTTTGCATACCACGAATGGCACAAACACAGATAATACGCCTACTGTGCATGTAACGCCATTTGGACTTCCACATTCTTGCCTTTGTTCCCAGGCTTGACTGATGACGAAATCCTGGCCCAAGCCTTTATTTTTGTGTTCGCGGGGTACGAACCCACCAGCAACTCCCTCGGTTACATGGCCTATGTTTTAGCCACTCATCCAGATGTTCAGCAGAAGCTTCAAGATGAGATCGATTCTGTCCTACCCAACAAAGTAAGTGTGCGTCGGTTGTGTGCGGGAAATATTTGACTTCTGAGGGATAATACACTTCAGGAATCCTTTTCGGACCATGAAGTACCTTTGGTTGTGGAAAACCATGGATGATGGAAAAGGACCAAGTTAAAAGTAAAGGATGTAGTCTTGTCTGCACTACTTTCCCTATAGTATTTATTCAACAAATAGGTAAAGATCTTTCATTTTGATAGGAGGACTGAGAGTTGAGCTCCCACTGGTTTTAGGAGTGTCAAAGCTCAGATCCCATACGGCACATTGTAGCATGCTAATTCAACAGGTGGAACTATACATTACCTGGTGATTCAACACTCTTGAGCTACTGTAGCCCCCAATTGCTATGCTGTGGCCGGTGCTGAATAGGGAAAGGATTTGTGAAAGATCTGGCTATGTCCCAGTAGCCAGATGCAAAAGGTCTGGCTATGTCCAGGTAGCCAGATGCAAAAGGTCTGGCAATGTCCTAGCCTGGCTATATCCAAGTAGCCAGATGCAAAAGGCCTGGTCATGTCCAAGTCTGGCTTTGTCCAAGTAGCCTGATGCCAAAGGTCTGGCTATGTCCAAGTAACCAGATGCCAAAGGTCTGGCTATGTCCAAGTAACCAGATGCAAAAGGTCTGGCTATGTCCAAATAACCAGATGCCAAAGGTCTGGCTATGTCCAAGTAACCAGATGCCAAAGATCTGGCTATGTCCAAGTAACCAAATGCAAAAGGTCTGGCTATGTCCAAGTAACCAGATGCCAAAGGTCTGGCTTTGTCCAAATAACCAGATGCCAAAGGTCTGGCTATGTCCAAGTATCCAGATGTCAAAGGTCTGGCTATGTCCAAGTAACCAGATGTCAAAGGTCTGGCTATGTCCAAGTAACCAGATGCAAAAGGTCTGGCTATGTCCAAATAACCAGATGCCAAAGGTCTGGCTATGTCCAAGTAACCAGATGCCAAAGATCTGGCTATGTCCAAGTAACCAAATGCAAAAGGTCTGGCTATGTCCAAGTAACCAGATGCCAAAGGTCTGGCTTTGTCCAAATAACCAGATGCCAAAGGTCTGGCTATGTCCAAGTAACCAGATGCCAAAGGTCTGGCTATGTCCAAGTAACCAGATGTCAAAGGTCTGGCTATGTCCAAATAACCAGATGCAAAAGGTCTGGCTATGTCCAAGTAGCCAGATGCAAAAGATCTGGCTATGTCCAAGTAGCTAGATACGAAAGGTCTGGCTTTGTCTAAGTAATCAAATTCAAAAGGTCTGGCTATGTCCAAGTAACTAGATGCAAAAGGTCTGACTATGTCCAAGTAGCCATGTCCAAAAGGTCTGGCTATGTCCAAGTAGCCAGATGCAAAAGATCTGGCTATGCCCACGTAACCAGATGTCAAAGGTCTGGCTATGTCCAAATAACCAGATGCCAAAGGTCTGGCTATGTCCAAGTAACCAGATGTCAAAGGGCTGGCTATGTCCAAATAACCAGATGCAAAAGGTCTGGCTGTGTCCAAGTAGCCAGATGCAAAAGATCTGGCTATGTCCAAGTAGCTAGATACGAAAGGTCTGGCTTTGTCTAAGTAATCAGATTCAAAAGGTCTGGCTATGTCCAAGTAACTAGATGCAAAAGGTCTGGCTATGTCCAAGTAGCCAGATCCAAAAGATCTGGCTATGTCTAAGTAGCCAGATGCAAAAGATCTGGCTATGCCCACGTAACCAGATGGAAAAGGTCTGGCTATGTCCAAGTAGCAAGATGCAAAATTTTTTGTATCATCCACTGGAAATCCCAGAGGATCCTGGTGGATGTCAGTAAATAATATCACAATTGTATATCTGGCTACAGGAGTGCTTCTCTGATCACTCTGGCCCTTACTCTCACCAAAGACACAATGGCCATGGCTCAATTGTAAGTCAAGGGAAGGGACCTTAAAAAGGCATGCATAGGTGTAAAGTGGATTTATGCCTGCCCATGCCACCAACAGGGTGCCAACTAGGGGTGGTAAGGTTGGGTGTTTTTTGAAGTTAGTGCCGGATAGAGTAATCTTCTGCCTTTAATTGTCCCAAAGGCCCCTCTCACATATGATGCCATCATGCAACTGGAGTATCTCGACATGGTGATCAATGAGACGCAACGGCTGTATCCTCTCGGCGGGCGGATCGAAAGGGTCTGCAAGAAAGATGTCGAAATCAACGGGGTAACAATCCCCAAAGGTGTGGTGGTGATGATCCCTCCCTACAATCTCCACCGGGATCCAGAATACTGGCCAGAACCTGAAGAGTTTAGACCTGAGAGGTAATCTCTTCTCCTTTCTCCTTCTCTTTCTCTGCCATTCCTCAGAGGGATTCATGACAGTAGATCTTTTGTCTGTGGGTCAATATATTCTTGAATAAAGATGGGATTCTCAGAGTGAAATTATTTGTTCTGCAGGTAATCAGATAGATAGATAGATAGACAGACAGACAGACAGACAGACAGACAGACACATGGATAGATACATGGATGGATGGATGGATGAATAGATAGATAGATGGATAGAGAGAGAGAGATCCATACATGGATAGATACATGGATGGATGGATAGATGGATGGATAAATTGATGGATAGATAGAGTGAGAGAGAGATGGATAGATACATGGATGGATAGATACATGGATGGATAGATACATGGATAGATAGATATACATGGATGGATAGATACATGGATGGATGGATGGATGGATGGAGATATATATATATATATCGATACATGGATAGATACATTGATGGATGGATGGATGGATAAATGGATGGATAGATAGAGAGAGAGATGGATAGATACATGGATGGATAGATGCATGGATGGATAGATACATGGATGGATAGATAGATACATGGATAGATAGATACATGGATGGATAGATACATGGATGGATGGATGGATGGATGGATGGATAGAGAGAGAGAGATCGATACATGGATAGATACATGGATGGATGGATGGATGGATGGGTGGATAGATGGATGGATAAATGGATGGATAGATAGAGAGAGAGAGAGAGAGAGATGGATAGATATATGGATGGATGGATAGATACATGGATGGATAGATAGATACATGGATGGATAGATACATGGATGGATGGATGGATGGATGGATGGATGGATGGATGGATGGATAGATAGATAGATAGATAGATAGATAGATAGATAGATAGATAGATAGATAGATAGATATTTTTCATAGATGGATGTATGTTCTTTGGATATTCATTACATACCCTATACAGGGAATGGATATCAGAATTGCTTTCCACAGTGCAATGTTGTGTTCTGCAACTGCGCCTTGTCCACTGTGTGTTGCACATTGACCTTTGTGCACTGCATGACAATACTCAGCCGTTGACATATGTTGCACCATGTTGCAATTCTGCATGGATGAATTGCCTAGCGTTGCCATAGTGTATGAAGACATTTACAACATTTTCTCTCTCCTTTCTCTTGTCATTCTGAATATAACCAGGTTCAGCAAAGAGAACAAGGAAAGCGTGGATCCTTACACATACCTGCCTTTTGGAGCCGGTCCTCGGAACTGTATCGGGATGAGATTTGCTCTTGTCACCATGAAAGTGGCGATTACCATCCTCTTGCAGCATTTCTCCTTTAGAGTCTGTAAAGAAACACCAGTGAGTAGAATGTATTTATATTATTCTTAGATGAGGAAAATAATTCACTAAGAACTTTGGTATTATTCTTGTGCCTTTGAGTTGAATGTTGCTTATGTCTGTTCCTAGCTTAAGGGGGTTTATTTATCTATGGAATGACCAGGATGGGACAAAAGACTCTTGTCTGTTGGAGCTCGGTGTGTATGTTTAAACTGACCACCTTGATTAGCATTTGATTGTCTGGAAATGCCTAGAGCAATCTTTTGTTGAGAGGAAACAAACAAGGACAGCTAATCACCTATCCACAGACATATAAACCCATTTTCCTAGTTCCAACATACCTCACTACCTCTGAGGATGCTTGCCATAGATGCAGGCAAAACGTCAGGAGAAAATGCCTCTAGAACATGGCCATATAGCCTGAAAAAACCTAAAACACCCTTGGCACAAATACTCAATATGCCCAAGTGGTAACACTGGTGGAGTTTGGGGAAAATAGACCTTGACCTTTGGGAGTTGTAGTTGCTGGGATTTATAGTTCACCTACAATCAAAGAGCATTCTGAACTCCACCAATGATGGAATTAAACCAAACCTGACACACAGAACTCCCATGACCAGCAGAAAATACTGGGTTTGGTGGGCATTGATCTTGAGTTTGGGAATTGTAGTTCACCTACATCCAGAGAGCACTGTGGGCTCAAACAATGATGGATCTGGAGTAAACTTGGCACAAATACTCAATATGCCCAAGTGGTAACACTGGTGGAGTTTGGGGAAAATAGACCTTGACCTTTGGGAGTTGTAGTTGCTGGGATTTATAGTTCACCTACAATCAAAGAGCATCCTGAACCCCACCAACGATAGAATTGGGCCAAACTTCCCACACAGAACCCCAATGACCAACAGAAAATATTGTGTTTCTTGATGGCTTTTGGTGACCCCTCTGAAACCCCCTCACAACCCCCCCAGGGGTCCCAACCCCCAGGTTGAGAAACACTGGGTTAAAGCTTTGTGCCAGCTGAACTGCTGACATGAAGGTCAGCTCGAAGCCACGAGAAGGGGTGAGCTCCCATCTGTCAGCCCCAACTTTCCGTGCGGGAACATAAGAGAAGAAGGAGGGCGACTAAAATGATCAAGGGTCTGGAGAATAAGCCCTATGAGAAGCGGCTTAAGGAGCTGGGCATGTTTAGCCTGAAGAAGAGAAGGCTGAGAGGAGATATGATAGCCATGTGTAAATATGTGAGAGGAAGCCACAGGGAGGAGGGAGCAAGCTTGTTTTCTGCTTCCTTGGAGACTAGGATGCAATGGAACAATGGCTTCAAACTACAAGAGAGGAGATTCCATCTGAACATGAGGAAGAACTTCCTGACTGTGAGAGCCGTTCAGCAGTGGAACTCTCTGCCCCGGAGTGTGGAGGAGGCTCCTTCTTTGGAAGCTTTTAAACAGGGGCTGGATGGCCATCTGTCAGGGGTGATTTGAATGCAATGTTCCTGCTTCTTGGCAGAATGGGGTTGGACTGGATGGCCCAGGAGGTCTCTTCCAACTCTTTGATTCTATGATTCTTTCACAGGATGGTAAAACATCCGGGCGTCCCCTGGGCAACGTCCTTGCAGGTGGCCAATTCTCTCACACCAGAAGCGACTTGCAGTTTCTCAAGTCGCTTCTGACATGTAAACAAATTGTGTTGATTCTCCACCAAGATCTGGGAACCAGTTTAACATTTGTTCTCCCCATTTCAGTGATATCACCAAGACACAGGACCCAGTTAAATTCAAAGAACTGGTGCTATATTGAGCCAACTGTTACCTCAATGCTTTCTTCTTTTTTCCTCTGCTGCAGATTCCTCTGAAGCTGGGCTCTCAAGCATTCTTAGTGCCAGAAAAGCCGATCGTTTTGAAGTTAGTGCGACGAAATAATCTTCAGTGAAGGGTGGGATGAAGCCCCGCTGTGTGTCTCTTGCGGTCATCTTTGTATTGAATGCCGTTGCTTCGGAAAAGCTGCTTTATTTTTGTTTTTTGCACTACAGCTTTCAGAATTCTTTGCCAACCTAGATATGGAGCCCGGGGATTCTGGGAGTGATAGTCTCTAATCCCTAAGCAGATTCTCCCAAGAGAACCATTTACTTTTAAGACGATGGACTTGCAGTTGCAACCCTGGAGTCGTAACGCTTTCCCTAATTGATTGGCCCATACTGTTATTGTTCTAAGGACGATTCAATTTAATGTATCACAAATCCTATATCTGATATAGTAAGTCAATGTATTGGGTATATTAAATCATCAAAATATATTAAATCACTTTCAAAACAAGGAATGAACTTTATAACACAGAACTACCTGCTGTATCCACGGGACTGGGAATTTTTGGGATGTACGATCCATTACAAATGGTTCAAAAGTCATTACATAACTGGGAGGAGCTGTCATTTTGTTTCTAAAGTGTTTCTAAAATATAGTTAGTAAAAATAAATCACAACTATAACAAGAGTAAGTAAATGGTTACTATTTCGTTATAGTAATTGCGTGTAAATTACTATAATTAGTAATTGTAATAAACGATGCATTAATTACGAAAGTAAGAATGAGAGTGTCTGGGACCATATATGCCCATGATATGACGGTCATGTTGTAAATAGAGGTGTAAAATTGTCTTGAAATTCCTTCATTGTAATAATAATAAAAATGTATTAATATAAGAAATAAAAAAAATGGGAAATGTTAATTTTGCCTGTTATTTATTTAAAAAGCTTGCAGTGTTTATGGCAAGACAGGAGCAGAATTCACAACAGATTAGAGAGATGATTGGCCAAAACTAACAAAATGAAGTTCAGTGGGGACAAATGCAAGATACTCCACTTAGGCAGAAAAAACAAAATGCAAAGATACAGAATGGGGGACAATGCCTGGCTCGAGAGCAGTACGTGTGAAAAAGATCTTGGAGTCCTCGTGGACAACAAGGTAAACATGAGCCAACAATGTGATGCTGCGGCAAAAAATGCCAATAGGATTTTGGCCTGCATCAGTAGGAGTTTAGTGCCTAGATTTAGGGAAGTCATGCTCCTCATGCTCTATTCTTCCATGGTTAGACCACACGTGGAATATTGTGTCCAAGTCTGGGCACCACAATTGAAGGGAGATGTTGACTCGAAGTTGGAATGTGTCCAGAGGAGGGCGACTCAAATGATCAAGGGTCTGGAGAACAAGCCCTATGAGGATCGGCTTAAAGAGCTGAGAATGTTTAGCCTGAAGAAGAGAAGGCTGAAAGGAGACATGATAGCCATTTATAAGTAGGTGAGAGGAAGTCACAGGGAGGAGGGAATTGCCCTGGAGACTAGGACGCAACAGAACAATGGCTTCAAACTACAGAAAAGGAGATTCCACTGAACATGAAGAGGAACTTCCTGACTGAGAGAGTCGTTCAGCAGTGGAACTTTCTGCTCCGGAGTGTGGTGGAGGCTCCTTCTATGGAGGATTTTAAGCAGAGGCTGGATGGCCATCTGTTGAGGGTGCTTTGTATGTGATTTTCCGGCTTGTTGGCATAATGGGGTTGGACTAGATAGCCCACGAGGTCTCTTCCAACTCTAGGATTCTAGGATTCTAAGAACTTCCTGACTGTGAGAGCTGTTCAGCAGTGGAACTCTCTGCTCCAGAGTGTGGTGGAGGCTCCTTCTATGGAGGTTTTTAAACAGAGACTGGATGGCCATCTGTCGGGGGTGCTTTGAATGTCATTTTCCTACTTTTGGGCTGAATGTAGTTGGGCTGGATAGCCCATGAGGTCTCTTCCAACTCTAGGATTCTAGGATTCTAAGAACTTCCTGACTGTGAGAGCTGTTCAGCAGTGGAACTCTCTGCTCCGGAGTGTGGTGTAGGCTCCTTCCATGGATGATTTTAAGCAGAGGCTGGATGGCCATCTGTCGAGGGTGCTTTGAATGTGATTTTCCGGCTTGTTGGCAGAATGGGGTTGGACTGGATGGCCCATGAAGTCTCTTCCAACTCTAGGATTCTAGGATTCTAAGAACTTCCTGACTGAGAGCTGTTCAGCAGTGGAACTCTCTGCTCTGGAGTGTGGTGGAGGCTCCTTCCATGGATTATTTTAAGCAGAGGCTGGATGGCCATCTGTCGGGGGTGCTTTGAATGTCATTTTCCTACTTTTGGGCAGAATGTGGTTGGACTGAATGGCTTTGAATGTGATTTTCCTACTTTTTGGCAGAATGTGGTTGGACTGGATGGCTTTGAATGTGATTTTCCTGCTTCTGGGCAGAATGGGGTTGGACTGGATGACCCATGAGATCTCCTCCAACTCTTTGATTCTATGATTCTATGTGTGTGGTGCCCTATAGATGGTTCCTTGCTTATCTCATGTCTCTTGACAAGTTGCCATTGTAGCATAAGTCAATCTAATATATATAAGGATTTTATGCACAAGGCACGATTGATAACAGTGTGACCCAATGGACCACCAGAAAGGAGTGCAGCGACCATTGAATTGGGAAGACCTCCCTTCCTCCTCCTCCTCCATCTGCAGTTGCGTCAGATTAGACACAATCTTAATTAAAACTAGCGTGCGGCTTCCAAGAGAAATCGCTAACAGGTTAATTAATGGCTTCGTCTGAGCAGCAAAGCTATCAACACATTTGCAAGGCCCTCAACATTTGAGATGCGCTCTTTTGCTTGGAAGAAGCCATCATTACTCAAGCAACAAAAACACATTAAAATGGTTCTTGCCCAGCAAACTGAAGCCTCAAAAAATAAGAAAGCATTAGCACAAATGTGTCTCAGTCTTGTTATTTTAATAATTTCCTAGATCAGTGTTTCTCAACCTGGGGGTCGGGACCCCTGGAGGGGTCACCAGGGGGTGTCAGAGGGGTCCCTGAAAACCATCAGAATATACAATATTTTCTGTTGATCATGTGGGAAGTTTGGCCTAATTCTATCATTGGTGGGGTTCAGAATGCTCTTTGGTTGTAGGTGAACTACAAATCCCAGCAACTACAACTCCCAAATGTCAAGATCTATTTCCCCAAACTCCATAAGAGTCCACATTCGGACATATGAGTGCTCGTGCCAAGTTTGGTCCAGATTGATCATTGATTGAGTCCACAGCGCTCTCTGGATTTAGGTGAACTACAACTCCCAAACTCAAGGTCAATGCCCACCAAGCCGTTCTAGCATTTTCTGTTGGTCATGGGAGTTCTGTGTGCCAAGTTTGGTTCAGTTCCATCGTTGGTGGGGTTCAGAATGCTCTTTGATAGTAGGTGAACTAAAAATCCCAGTAACTACAACTCCCAAATATCAAAGTCTATTTCCCCCAAACACCATCTGTGTTCATATTTGAGCATTTGGAATATTCGAGCCAAGTTTGGTCCAGATCCATCGTTGTTTGAGTCCACAGTGATCTCTGGATGTAGGTGAACTACAACTCCCAAACTCAAGGTCAATGCGCACCAAACCTTTCTAGTGTTTTCTGTTGGTCATGGGAGTTCTGTGTGCCACGTTTGGTTCAATTCCATAATTGGTGGAGTTCAGAATGCTCTTTGATTGTAGGTGAACTATAAATCCCAGCAACTACAACTCCCAAATGACAACATCAATCTCCTCCAACTCCACCAGTATTCAAATTTGGGTGTATTGGGTATTTGTGCCACATTTGGTCCAGTGAATGAAAATCCATCCTGCATATCAGATATTTACATTACGATTCATAACAGTAGTGAAATTACAGTTATGAAGTAGCAACAAAAATAATGTTATGGTTGGGGGTCACCACAACATAAGGAACTGTATTAAGGGGTCGCGACATTAGGTAGGTTGAGAACCACTGGACTAGAGGAACAGGTACCACCTAGTCTTGCAAACCTGATTGAAGTAGTGCATTCATTCTTGAGACCCAAACAAGCTCTGGTGTGGTATTTATTTATTTATCTGGGTTGTTGAGGGTTTTTTCAGGCTATATGGCCATGTTCTAGAGCAGTGGTTCTCAACCTTTCTAACACCAAGACCCGTAAATATGGTTCCTCATGTTGTGGTGACCCCCAACCATAAAATTATTTTCGTTGCTACTTCATAACTGTAATTTTGCTACTGTTACAAATCGTAATGTAAATATCAACATAATTAAAGCATCATGATTAATCAGAAAAATATGTTTTGGGGGAGTATGGAAAACAGATGAAGGGATTCGCAGTATCTTCAACTGATTCAGCGCTGACTTCCACAGACCACTGAGACCTCCACACAGAACTCCCACGTCAAACAAAAATATTGGAGGGGTTTGGGAGGAATTGGGAGGACAGTGGTTTAAGGGAGATGTAGTTCACTTACATCTGGAGAGCAATGTTAACCCAAACAACTATGGTTCTGGACCAAACGTGGCACAAATACTCAATATGCCCAAATTTGAACACTAGTGGAGTTTGGGGAAAATAGACCCTGACACTTGGGAGTTGTAGTGGCTTGGATGTATAGTTCACCTGCCATCAAAGAGCATCCAGAACTTTACCAAGAATTGAATTGAACTAAACTTAGCATACAGGACTCCCATGACCAACAGAGAATACTGGAGACATTTGGGGAAAATAGACCCTGACAATTGGATGGCGAGAGCATGAGGCAGGCGAGGCGGGATTTGCAAGCCTCGCGCGGAGGACCCCTCACCTGCCCCACGCCCGTGCCAGATGATGAGAGAGTGAGGCAGGCAGAGGCGGCCCTAGGTAATTTTCAACGGTAAGCAAACAGTATTTTGGCGCCCCCCCCCCCCCCAACCAATCATTGATATATATTTTCTGTTTGTCGTGGGAGTTCTGTGTGCCATATTTGGTTCAATTCCATCATTGGTGGAGTTCAGAATGCTCTTTGATTGTAGGTGAACTATACATCCCAGTAACTACACTTGCCGCACTTGCTCCCTTGCCTGGCCCGCTTTGGGTCCGGAGGCGTGCCTGAAGACCCCGGCGTGTGCACCAAAAGTCACCTCTTCTCCTGACTTTCTCCTCAGCCATTGGGACCAAGAGAGAGAGAGAGAGCGAGAGAGAGGTGGAGATGCCCACCTTTCCTGAAGGTAGGCGCAAAAACAAAGGAGGGAGCGGAGGTGGGAGATACCTCCAGCCGAGGGGCTCTCTCTCTCTCTCTCTCTTGGTCCCAATGGCTGAAGAGAAAGTCAGGAGAAGAGGCGACTTTTGGTGCACACGCTGGGGTCTTCAGACACGCCTCCGGACCCGAAGCGAGCCAGGTGCAGCGGCTCCGCCCCTTGGCCCACCTGGGGAGAGGAGAGGAGGCGAGTGGAGCGCCGGGGGATCGGGAAAGGGAGCCGGTCATGGGGAAGGGATCGAACACAGAGAACGATTGAGAGCCGGCTCTGCTCACGCACTCGGTGGCGGGTGGAGCAGGAAGGAGAGGGGCTAGGCGAGGCTCAAGGGCCCGGCCCCTTTGGGAAGAGGATCACCCGGCAGCGAGGCAAGAAAGCCGAGGCTCCCCCCGGACTGCTAGGGCTGTTGTGAGCTGAGGGGGCGCTCCTCAAGTGGCGGTCGAGGGGCATTTACAGAGGCGCCTCTGCGCCCCTGGCAAAAAAAAGTGTTCTGCGACCGCTTACTTCGCGTAATGGATGAGCCGCCCCTGGAGGCAAGCGAGGTGGGCTTTGTGCGAGGCCAGGCTTTGTATGGAGGATCCCTCGCCTGCCCCGCGCCCTCGCTGGGTGGCGAGAGCATGAGGCAGGCGAGGTGGGCT